CCTGCTGTGGAACAAACCATGGCATATCATAATATATCATACTATATCATAGTATACTGAAGTATATCATAATCATAGTGTATTACAGTATATCATAGTATATAATAGCCCACTAAAGTATATTATAGTATACTCTAGTACGTTAAAATTTTAAAGTTATCATAATTTATAATATATTTCTTATAAATTCTAGTATATTGTAGCAGTTCATTGTAGTAAATTATAGGAAAAGTATATTATGTAGTATATTAACTATGGCATTTTGAGATACATTATGGTGTCTGTTTTTAAAAATGCGGGCAAGTAAATAGATAAAACAAGTAGTTTATACTACCTCTGTGAGGGGTCGGGCGCGGCCGCCCGTTTTTTTACATATACGGAAACCTCGAAGAAGTCGTCCACACACACACACACACGCACATACATACATACATACATACATACATACATACATACTTACTTACTTACTTACTTACTTACTTACTTACATACATACATACATACATACGTACACACACACGCACACGCACACATCCGGGACGCCTTCTTCCACGACCACGACAACGACATCACGCAGGAGAAGGACGCACCAGGGATTTGCAACGGGATTAAGAGTTTAATAAATTTGTGGAGTATAGTGGCGGTAGGGAAAACGCCCCAACTGCCGCAGTTAGGTTTTAAACTGTTCCAAAGCAGTGATACAACAAATGACATGAACTGATGCCGCTAGGACACGGAGCGTCAAGCCTAGTGGAAGTGCTTCTGCTCTGAGGTGAAAGTCTGTGGGTTCGAGTCCCGCGCCGCGAATTTATTTTTGACGGAAGAGGCTGGGCTGCGGGCTGGGCTGGGTTGGGACGGGAAAAAAGCCTAACTGCAGCAGTTAGGGCTGTTTTGGGCTGGGCGGGCTCTGGGCTGGGGGCGGGGGCTGGGATGGGTTAGGAAGGGAAAAAACGCGTAACTTCGGCAGTTAAGGCTGCTTTTGGCTGGGTGGGCTCTGGTTGGGAAAAAAGAAAAAAAGCATAACTGCAGCAGTTAGGGCTGTTGGGCTGGGTGGGCTGGACTGGCTGGGCTGGGCTGCGCTGGGAGGGGAAAAGAACCTACCTGCGGCAGCTAGGGCCGCGCAGGCGATCTGAAACCATGCACATCCGCCACAGTAAGAGGCTTGCGAGTGTGCCTTCTTTGCCATTAGGCCACACGGTCAATGCACAAGAACCCCCCCCTAAATGAGTGGTACATTGGAATACTACTGAACTTTAAACCCCCTAACTGCGGCAGGTAGGGTGATTTCTCTATGCCCTAAAACAGAAACTCAAATCGCATCTGAAAATCTCTCAAGTCACCAAAAAGCCCCAACACGGCAGGCGGCCTACTTCTTCGTGTGTGTGCAACATGTGTGTATAAGGTACTTACATACATTGAAACATGCGGAGATGTAACTAGATATTTTTTACTACCTCCGTGGCTCGTGGCCCGAACCTGCCCTCCACATGTTTTTGTAGTGGTCATCGTATAGTATTTTGTAGTATACTGCATATTGCAATGCAGACTGCAGACCCTTCAGACTCGTGGCTGGAAGAACTGGCAACTCAGTGCGCGCTCGCTTCGGGCCTGGCCTCTGTAGCGAGAGCCAAGATTTGAGAGCCCTCGTCTTGAACCTCGAAAAGGCCCTGGCTGTAGCCCGGAAGCTGCCAAACGCCCCCATTGGGTGGCCTGCCGTCCTGAGACTCTTTCATTCAAACTGCAGTCGCAATATAATCGGCCCCGAGTTCCTCTGCTTTTGGCAGTTGGATGGAATTTCTCCCGAACTCTTCCCTGAACGACACAGAAAAATGAGTCAGAAGCTTTAAGACTTTGAACGGAGTCTTGCGATCAGCTTGTCAAAGGGCGGAACTGTTGCCGTGTCACGTCTGTTTTATATTAGTAGCTATAGACCAGCGTCCGGGAGCCACAAGCCAAAACGGCTCTCCGCTGTGGGGATGCTGCGGACCCCATGCTCTGAAAGCTGCTGCATAAGCTCCAATCGGGTCGTCCGGAGGGTGTTGACACGAAGCCTTGGCAACGTTGGCTAGGGTGTTGACTTGGTTGAAATGTCGGAATCAAAACTCTACTAACTTCGTTGTGGGCACGTGATCCTCGCAGGCTGGCACATGGCGCGGCCAAGCTGGAAAGCTGACAGAGGCCCTAGGTGTTGCAGCCAGCGCTCGGCCATCCACCTCCAAACCGCTGTTGGACCAAAACGTTTCAAACAGGGCATCTGCAGCAAAAATCACCCATGTCTTCACCACCGAGCCACAAAGGCAAGGACCAAGCAACAGACAAGCGCTTGGCCAGGGTGGCAGAGTCATTCGGACCAAACCTTACAGTTGTGATTCGTGATGGTTGTCATGGGGGTCTTGACTGTGCCTGCCTTCACCTCATGCATAGCTCCGTCGCCGACGATGCCAGATCTGTCGAACCCAAAGCTACCAGTCCATTGTACGATCGCACCATCAACGGCAGCTAAACACAACGGAACGAAGCCCAGCCGGCCGTGATGCAGCAAAAGACGACCTGGCGCGCGCAGACGAGTAGCAGCGGTCGACTGCATGCATCGGCCAAGACTTGCCGCCATTCCGTCTTCTGGGATCCGGCCAAAGCGAAACACGGATGCTCCAGCTCCTTCCGATGGCACCGACAATACATGCAAGCTGCCTGACAATCTCGCGATTTGGCAATGCGCCTTTGATCTTTGAACGCCTACCTGGCTACCTCCAGCACACGAGGCAGCTCTCGCACCACGAAGAGTTCGAGAAGCAGCTCGGCGTCGCAGTCGTGACCAGGTGCAACTTCCTGTAGCAGGTGAGAAAGACGCCCACGAGCCACAGCCACGCCAAGAACCTGAGAAGGACTTGTTTGTAATGGATTCTGATGACAAGATGCGCCAGGTTGGTTGGACAGAGGTGGCTAGGACAGATCTTTGAGTTCGCATAAGTCGACAGCGTGAGAAACTCTAAGGCCTAGGAAGCTCCAATGCAAGCACGACATTTACGAGCGTACGCAAAACCCTTTGATCTCAGCCTGACATCCAATATGTTGGCTTGTCTGATCTGCTTTTCCAACTCATAATTTGTAGATAATGTCTGTAAAATGTGCTCACAACAGATGCACCACTCTCTACCGGCCCGACTTAGTAGCATGCCCGTACTTCAAGCACGAAACGCGCCGTGCCACAGCCGAACGCGTCGTTTGGCACAGCGTGGCGTGTCGGATGCGCATGGCCTTCCGAAGTGCCTTCTCCTGAGCTGCAGCTTTTCGAAGTTTTCGGGAGTGATCAGCTTGTCACGGGGGAAGGTCCTTTTCAAGATTACAATTGCTCTCGAAAGTCTTCATGGTGCAGATCAACGTCTACAACACATCATCATCGTCATCGTCAACATCATCATTATGATCATCCTCATCATCCACATCATACCATCATCATCATCACCATCATCATCATCACGAGGTGGTTCGCAAGCACGTAGCTCACAGCCGCAGCACCCGGGGTTCACATACTGAGCTCTTTCGCCTTACTCGCCTTTCGTCGGATGCCGACTCTCAGCCTTCCCCCATTCCGCTTGGGACGCTTGCACTTCAGCGAGAGAATACTGATGTCGAATGCTGCAGGCAAGAATCAATAGCCTCACCATCCCTCACGTCTTGGGGTAGGAACGTCTGGGATGTGGCCAGAGTTCTCTGAAGGCTCTAACCCAGGAGTGTAGCAGTTGTGGCAGCTGTGCTACAAGTGTTGGATTCTTCGCTCTCGTCGTGCGTCGGGCGGCGACAGAGAAGGTGAGATCTGCTTGATCAAAAGTGCTTCTGCCACGAGTGCTCCAGCCAAGTCTCAACATCGCTGCCAGGAGAAGCCAGCCAAGATCTCAAAGCTTCCAGGGACACGTCTCGGACGAGAATCGCCTCGGAACTTCGGCTACTGCTAAGCCGCTGAGCTTGCAAGGCCTTCAGTGCACGCCGCACGCCTTCGCTGCAAAGAGGGCCTGAGGGTCGCCGTTCTCCCGCTGCGGGCCACCTGGACCTAGCAACCGTCGACAATCTTTCGGAGATATTTGGCCCACAACATCAGACGACCGGCAGAGGGTCCTGCAAATGCTTCTCTATCTCTGTCTATGTGCGCGCATAGGTACATGAGTGTTACATGCCTGTGTATTGGAAGCCTGGTCAGGTCCCTCTGTTAATTTCAAACCGTGAGGTACAAAGCCTTGGACAATCTCACTCTTCACTCTTCACCTGGCTCTGTGAAAGATAGGCCGGAACCGCAGCACAAGCAATTGTTTGGGCTTGGTTCCTCGCCCACCTTTTCTAAGAGTGGCAGATCAGCCCGGATTTGCAGCTGAAGTCTGTCGGCTTCCCTGATCTGTGTCAACATCCCATCATCTTTCTCATGCGATGCCGTGTTGCAGATGTCTAATTGAGTTCTGCGTGGATGCTTAGCCCTCATCGTGCCTGCTTTGCCCTTGCAAAACAATTCAATCGACTGTCGCGGCTTCGTAGCTAAAGCATCATACGGGATCTGACCCGAAATTGAGGCGCGGAGCTGCTTCCGGCAGAGGATTCGTTCACAGCACTGCTTGGATTTGCCATCGCTGTGGTTCATGGCCCACAGCTTCTGTTAAAGGCACAAGCCTGAGGGACAGAGTTACAAAGTTTGGGCATCAGGAACCTGGAGCCATCCACACACTTGAACCTTTGACGGAGCATGAGGGTCCTGCAAATCATAACCCACTCTGTGTGAGATGCTTAGAAACGCGGTCAGAACATGTCTGCCTGCTGCTGTGTCGGAGCACCTCGCTTGCGAAAACCGTTGAACACACGGCTTGAGCCGACGATGCAGTATGTGCAAGCCATGTCCCAGGGCCAGGGCTGTGTGGAATTGTTGACTCTGGCAGCTAGCGGTTCGGAGCGTACACATAACCAATGAGTCTTCTGCACCCATGGCATATCTATGCATCTCACACCAACAAGCCTCAAAGAAGACCTTGCGTTGTGGGTCTCGACAGCAGGTGCTCGGAGCTTTGCAAAATGCCTGGGCAGGCAAGTAAGCAGCGAAGGCTGGCTAAGATTCTGCTAAGATTGATGCAACGCAAGAGAAGAACAAGAGGATGGTACCACGAACAGAAGACCTCGTGGCATCGGGATGAACTGTGTAAGTTCAGATCTCTTCATCTCCGCGTCGGAGCCCGGAGGACTTCTGATACTTTGACTGGTGGCTGTAGTCTAGGATCGATGCTGGCAGAGTCTTCCAGAGACAAGCCTGACATTTGTCGCTTCTCGGGCTTCTCGGTTTGCGACTTATTTCTGCCACCAGTTGGCACGTTGCTACAACAGTCGCCAGGGTCTGCTAAAACCGAGATCAAGCAACCTGCGACCCCTTCTGAGGGAGCTTCGGAAAGTTTAGCCCTTGTAACATGCGCTCCTGCCTGGAACGTCAGAGCAACGGCCCACAGACACTGAAAGTGGCTCCTGCTCTGACCGTGAGCAGCTAGGCATGCTGCTTTTCGTGATGGTAATGATGATGACGATATGATGATGATGATGATGAAGACGAAGATGATGATGCTGTCGTTATGGTTGTTGCCGACGACGATGTGCGACTACGAGGCTTACTAGCCGCTAGCCGTGTCAATCCTCCTCTTCAATGCTAAATTCGTCACCATCAGCACCACCGCCATCATGATTCTGCTTGTGCCAGGATGTTTGCGTCGAAGGATGACGGCCCTTGCAGTGAGCATATTTTAAGTTTTTTCTCGTGGAGCGGGCATGCGCAGGCTCATGCTGACATGGTGAAGCCAGGACGAGTAAACAAGCCATGCGTGTCGACTTCGGAGACGAAAGGAGACTGGCCTTCCAGCGAGCCAAAATGAAGACTCCGACGGTTGTGTCCCAGGCTTGAAGCCGTGAGTAGACCAAATTTAAAAAACGGATTGCAGGATCGATCAGAATCACACACGTGTCGATCTCTCCACATGGATCTGCCACCCAGACCTCATCCTGCCATAACTATCATTCGTCTCCAATTGCCCCTCCCTGTCCCCCACCTGTAGCCACCTCCTGGGGCTTGGTGCCTTGCGCTCGCTGCGCCGGGGGTCCCGCGGAGTCGGCGCGGACGCCACCTTGTAAACAGCAGAAAGAAGTTGACCCTCTCTGCTTGGAAGGTTTCCAAGCAAAGCCTGTCTGTACCAAAATCAGCATTTTCACACACTACGGTGCTGCAGAGTCAGGCAGAACTGCAGGGACACAGTGATTCGGCCCGATAGTGGGCAATGGTAATGGTGGCGAGTGTAGCAGTATAGTATAGTTGTTCTAGTAGTAGCAGTAGCAGTGGCAGTCGTAGTAGTAGTAGTAGCAGCAGCAGCAGCAGTAGCAGTAGAAGTAGTAGTAGTAGTAGCAGCAGCAGCAGCAGGAGGAGAAGAAGAAGTAGTAGTAGTAGTAGTAGTAGCAGTAGCAGTAGCAGTAGCAGTAGGAGTAGTAGTAGTAGTAGTAGTAGCTGTAGTAGTGGTAGTGGTAGTGGTAGTGGTAGTGGTAGTGGTAGTGGTGGTAGTAGTAGTAGTAGTAGTCGTCGTCGTCGTCGTCGTCGTAGTCGTAGTCGTAGCCGTTGTCGTAGCAATAGTAGTAGCAACAGTAGTAGTAGTAGGAGTAGTAGTAGGGGTGGTGGTGGTAGTGGTAGTAGTAGTAGTAGTCGTAGTCGTAGCCGTTGTCGTAGCAATAGTAGTAGCAACAGTAGTAGTAGGAGTAGTAGTAGGGGTGGTGGTGGTGGTGGTAGTAGTAGTAGTAGTAGTATTAGCAGGAGAAGTAGTCCGATAGGAGTAGGAGCAGCAGTAGCAGTAGGAGCAGCAGCAGTAGTAGGGGCAGTTGTCCAGTGTTGTAGTCGTTGTCGTGGCCGTGCTCGCCCTACCATTTCTAGCAGAACCTGCACTATCATCTTGTCGATAGGTTCCATGACGGTCATCTCAAGAGGTTCGAAGCACAGCATTCAAAGGCAAATCACGAGGTCAAGAAGCTTGCAGGCCGTCAAGACAGCAGCCGCGACACCAGGAAGGCAAGCAACAGCGAGATTACCGGGCAAAAGCACGGAACAAGTAACACTCTGTAGCAAACGAGCTTCCTCTTCGGGAACTGCGGGCGATCATGCACACTGAGTTCAACTCATCGTCTCTTGTGGTTGTCCCTTGGACAAGACCATGCATGGACAATTTTGTACTCGCTGTGCATCATCTTCCATTGGATTGAAATGCAGCAACTCCAAGCAGCTCGAACCTAGGCGTCCGTGAACAGAAGAGGAGGGAAGACGAATGGACAGATGCTGAACATGCAAAAGATCGTGAATGTGCTGCCACAACATTCGAAGCTTTCCTGCCTCAGCGCCTGCAGAGGCAATGCTGTTCGTTGGCGTCTTCCCCTGAAAGGGGTTCGAAGTCGAAGAGAAGGAACTACACGACACAGTCAATCTCTATCCTAAGTTGCTCGACCTCGACCGTGCTTCGTGTTCTCCTGGAGCGGACGATTTCATAGCCTCTAGCTTTCTACTAGTAGCACACACCACTGCACGATCCGTCTTCATGTCAATACGTCTCGGCTGCCCTCAAGCCTCAAAGCTCAGCCGCAGCAGGATTCGGTGCAAGTGGAGATTCAGACCAGCAGGCGAAGCAAACACGAGTCCTGATTCAGCCTGTGGATACCTGTGGGTGGTTGAACCATACTGTTACTTGCCAACATCGAGCAGACAAACGTACATATCCCAGCATGCGAAGGTGCCGCTGCACAATGCATCCTGAGACCGGCTATGTCTGGTTGTCTTCGTGCCTCCAGTCGGTCGACTCGGTCGGCAAGGTTGGCTAAAGCTTTGGCCACAGTGCCTGGAACGATGGCGGACACAGCCGGGCCGCCGGGCATACTATTCGTGATTTGCTTTGGGTACCCTCACAGTCGCCAAGCGATGAAATTCTGATACTGTGATCCGCTGTGCAACGAGACTATGCGCCCGTAAGCTGGTGTTGTCACTGCCGGTGGTGCCAAGTGCATGTCGACTGTCTAAGGCAGCGTGTGGCAACTGAAAAAGAGTGCCACCGCACCAAGAATGCTGATACTGATCTCGAGCCGTGAGAGTCCGATGTCCTGGGTTGCTCATGTTGATGAACTCAGCAAGGCTAAGCACCGCCGATCCAGGCCTAGCTCACTGCTGAGCCGATCGTTCACGGCCTTCAAAGTGTCCATTTCTTCGATCTTCACACAGAGCCTCAGACCCCGGAACAAGTCTGCATTCGGTACGCGAGGTCTAGCAACCACTATACTTGCGCACCGCAAGGCCAAACGTCAATAAAAGAAACATCCAGCACAGCTCAATCCAACGAAAGGCTACATTAGGCATATCCCTGCCTAAACTAATCGAGGCCCTCGTGAATGGGACCGACCGTCGCGACCCCCCTGGGCACAGGCGTTGTCATGGCATCTGCAACTGTCGCCATCTCACCCTTCAGTACCTCTCGGTTGCAACGACGTCGGCCAACACATTGCATGTCTGAGCCTAGGGGTTAAGTTATTATTCGAGCTAGTCGAAAGATCGGGAAGTCTGAAAACTCTACAAAAACCCCTTGCGCTGAAGCCTCGGTGTCCGAGACCCGCAGCTGCTCAACCTTTGATCGCATCTCCTTCAGGTCCGTCTCCTCACAGACTTCCAGCAGCTTACTGGGGAAGCGAACTTTAAACCCTGTGGTTGTGATGGCCTGCTGGCCTATCCTCTGCTGCAGCGGCTGCAACATGGCAGCAACCGCCTCATTCGCATCCGTTCAGGGTTCTTAGGCTGGTTCCACCGTGACTGTTGTATCTGCTGGTAACTGGCACATGTGAGAAATTGCACAGAAATTAACTATGATTGCATGGTGTTGGGTCTAACAGCAAACTAATGATCGGTCAACAGTCCCGTGGTGGCTCGCGAACCGAAGATGCATCGATAATTACTGCAGTGCACTCCGAGGTCCGACAGTGAACGTCATGGAGGTCTCCCGTGATGTTAAGGAAGGCTCCGACATGCTGAATCAAGGCTCCGGCCACTTTGTCCATGGATCCCTGGGCCGCGCCCGAGCAGAACCCCACAGATGCCAGCAACAACTGGAATGCAGCGTTGGCTGCAATGGTCTTACATAGAGTGTTACAAAACAGAGCATGAGAAGCTGTCACAGACTCTTACGCTTCTTCGGGCCTTCAGATCCTGAGCCCTCCACACCAAAACGCGCGCGGAACTCCTACCTGAACAGCTCAAAACCTGAACTCAGAGTCTAAGCTCTCAGCCACATGCTCGCCAGCCTGACTTTCAAGTTTTACGGGGTTCACGCACAGGACCTATCCGTTCACCGTATGTCCAAGCAGAGCCTTCGTGCGATGCTATGCACGGCATCTCACCATGAGACATGGCCTTGACGAGCCGTGAGCCCAAAGATCATAACATCAGGCTATCTTGAGGCCGCAGCCGCGTTGAGACTCATCATGCCCTGTGCGAAGCAGGCAGGCCCCTCTCAAACAGAACCCAGAGAGCTGGCCCCCTGCACCCAATGCTTCGCCCGTATGTTCAGATCTATTCATCAGAGCGTGGGCTCACCCAAGCTGCTTCTCCCCCGCATCCTGTTCAGCCTGGACACCTGACCTTATCCAAAGGATGAGTGCCCGTAGCGATACCCAATCACACTGATACCGGCAAAGCACCATTCATGTCCTTGACAGATTTGACAGGGCCCCACGCACCTGCAGAGTTGCTGACAGCTCGTTCTGCTTGGCATGGAGCGACGCTATGCCATGCTCCACCACGGACATGCGGGCCTGCAGTGCATCAGTGCCGAACCTGACAGCCTCCGAACCATGCCTTCTTTCAAACGAGCAGGCATTACATTGTATGGATTGAATGGCAGCTTATATCGGCTACTGACTTTCGCCAGTCGTGAATGCATCCCTTCTGGCAAATCCCGGACAGTCCCAGCTTCTGTCAGTACGCAAACCTCAACAACCAAGATCTGATGATCCATGAGTAGAGAAATCTCTCTTGATGTTGGCCTCATCAGGCCGACGAGCCATTCCTCGGACGATGACTTCAGGGGGCTGAAGTCTCGTCTGCCACCCGTACTCTTGCCATCAGTAACAACAGCAACCGGCTGCGGCTGCGGCTGCTGCTGCTGCTGCTGCTGCTGCTGCTATTCTTGCTACTCCTGCTACTATTCTATTCGTACTGTTACTAGTGCTAATGATGATGATGGTGATGATGATGATGGTGGTGATGATGATGATGATGGTGATGATGCTGATTCTGATGCCGAGCACGACCGTTACCATTGTTTTGCTGGCAGATCTGTCGAGATTGGTGAGGATGATGGTGGCCATGATGACCATCATCATGATGATGGCTTCGGGACGGCAATAACAGCGGTAATGACGCTGAAGATGACGATTATGATGATCTCGATGATGATGCTGGCGACTATGACTAGGATGCTGGTAAAGGTGACCAGGACTATGATGCGACAGTGGTGAAGAATAACCACTAGTGGAGGGAAGAGGAATCCGGGAAATGCATCCTTAACTCGTTGTGGGAATGTCTGTCAGGCGCGGGATTTCCAGTCCGACTGGAATCCTACAGTAAACGCAGGCGAGATTCCGGCCAGGAGTTCTTCCTGCATTGCTTCCAGGCCTGACTGCTGCTGCGACATGGCCGTCACTGCAGCTGCGACCTGCACAAGCGCACTCTTCAGACTCTTGGCTGCTCCTCCAAGTCAGGACCTGGGTTGCAGTTTCGGGTCCAATGCAACGATTCGCGCTATCTGAGAGCTAGGTCATATGGTTGCCTGCTCACAAAAACCCACGGTGCCAACATCATCCAGAAGCAAGCAGGAACAACGCAAACGCACCGGGGACAAACACTGGCTCCCATGCTCCGGGAGTTGCTACTTCAACCAAAATGACGTGTTTTTCCTCTGGGCGATTGTCGGCGACGCCATGTGCTAGCAGAACCGTTGAGTCTGTATGCAGATGCTCGAGCGGCATGGAGGCACTGCGTTTGCAGTGGGTTCTTGATGTGTGACAGGGGTCCCGTGGCTCAAGGCATGGCACCTCACGGTTTCGCTGCCATCTGCATCGCACAACAGAGAACAACCAAAGACTTTGATGGCAAGCGCTTAGCTGAACAGCTCGTGCTGAGGGTTTGTGTGTTTTTTTTTGCTTTGCTGGTCCTGCCTTGGTTCCGTTGGTTCCAAGCGAGTGTTCTGTGCAAATCCACGCCTGGCCCTTCTCGGCTTGCAGCGTCTGGAGCTGACTTTGCAGCACCCGAACAGCAGCAGACATCTCCTGGGTTGCAGTCCACGCAGTCGGATACTTTGCAGGCAAAATTGCGTACTCTTGGCCTTGATGGCCTTTTCGGAGTTGAGCTGCACTGCCCAAATAGCTGCGTCTGCAGTGTCGCGCAGTACCGCGCCTGGTAGGATGGCTCTGCAATGCTGGAGCCACGAAGTGCCTGGTCGTGGCTTATGCGTGTGTGTGTGGGTGGGTGTGAGTGGTGTGGATGGTGTGTGTGTGTGTGTGTGTCTGTGTGTGTGTGTGTGGTGTGTGCGTGTGTGTTGTGTGTGTGTGTGTGCGTGCGTGTGTGTGTGCG